GAAATCTCACGTCATCTCACTCTGTACTGCCTGGGATGTGAATCATTTCTTTGTCTAGTGTGTCCACACAGTATATATTATCCACCTGTTAGTTAGCTATCTTGGTTATCAGATTAACTGTTGCAATATCACAGTGCTCGTGTTCAAGTAACTTTTATAGTAGCCTAATAGTAAATCTCAATGCCTGTCATTAACCTCACTTTATCTCATCATATAGACATTGTATCACCTTATATCATCACAAAAAGAAGGGAGAGTACAGTATAGTAAGGTATTTTTAAGAGAGACAACATCCATATATCTTTTGTTATATTATTTTTATTTTTCTATTTATTATTGTTAATCTCTTACTGTACATAATTTATAAATTAACTTTATCATAGATATACTTGTATAAGAAAAAAAAACATAGTATAGATAGGGTTTGGTTACTTTCTGTGGTTTCAGGCATCTATTGGGGGTCTTGATATGTATCCCCTACAGATAAGAGAAGACCACTGTAATCATTTTACTATGCTTCAATTAATGGGGTGAGAATATTCCTTTCATTTTTCACTAGAAATAGCATTATATAACCATTTTTATTTATATTTTATTACTGACATTCAAAATTATTTCATTCCCTCAATATAAATTAGTTATTTATACATTTTATACATATGTCTATTGAGACTCTTGGGGCTTTTTTAAAAAATATTTTTATGAGCTCTTTAATATAATATGAATAAGACTATCAATATTTGCCACAAGTACTTTTACTCAACTTGTTTTCCACCATTTTCATTTTAGCTGAACACATTTTTTATTATCTAAACAGTTTATATGCAGTCACATTTATTAAGCAGAACATCTGTTTGATTTTTGAGATGAGAAAAGAAAGAAACAGAAGGACTTATTCTAAAGGTCATGATTCTGAAAATTATTGTCAGTCACCTTTGGTTCATGGGGCACTTCCTGGAGAGTGGCGGAAGAAGCATTGCTTTCTCTGCATGGCATGCCTCTCCATATGACTCTGGCATAATCCATTGATAGGTATCTCATTAATTCACTGTTTTTCTGGTAAACTCATTCTCAAGGAGCTATGCTCAAGATTCCAATTCCAGTGAATTGAGCATTAGATCAAGTCTCTCTGTATTTTTTTAAAAACCCAAACACCTTAGGAGCTATGATAGTCTCTATTCTAGACTTCGATTTGTCTTCATCTAGGAGGAGCATCTTTTAACAACTCATTTGATGGGTTAACTGGAAGAACCTAGTCGGATAATGTAAGCAAAAGCACATTTTTCAATCGTAATTCTTCCTCTCATTTACCTGGTTGAATGAGAGCACCTCGATTTATCTTGAGAAAGTTTATGGTGACTAATCTCCTGAATATTTCTTAGTAGGAGGGTGCCTGCTTGTGCCTTCTAAAATACATACTTCACCATTAATTTAGGATTTTAGTTCTTAAGACTTTTTTAGACATCATCCTCACCTATTCAAGTGCCTCTCATACGTGTCTCTTTTTTTTTTCTTTCTTTCAAGAAGGGAAATATATTTAATTACTCCTTAGTGGTTTATCTGTCTGTACAACTGAAGTGTTCTCATGGCTGTATGCTTCTAGGTTGGCTGTGTAGACATATAACCACTGATAATTCCCCTCCACCCCCATTTCAAACTAGCAGGCAAATAGAAATAGAGGCACATACCCTGCGAGCTGTCTACTTCTTATTATTAATTTAAGATAGGACTAGTGATAAATATGATTTTATTCTTTTCTTAAAATATCTGTCTGGTTGTGGTATTGATAAAAAAAATATTGATCAAAATATAACAATACAGTTCATTTGGGAGAGGAATCAACTTCAGTGAGAGAATAATTTTAGTCTTGTGGTTTGAAATAATATATAATCATATTAATTTAGTCCAGAAATAAGTTGAAATTATGTGTTATCCCCCATTATCCCTAAATACACATCATGGGCTATAATAACTTGCAGTTTTCTTCTGCCATGAAAGCAAAACTTTCTAACTGAAAACTTTAGAATCATATAACCTATATTTTATTGCCATGGGTGGGGGTGTCTTAAGTATGAAAATTTCAAACTGGCATTTTCTCTAGAATGTAGACGAGGGCTCACTTTTCAGATATGACCTTATCCTGAACTTTTCAGAAATAGCACAATCAACTAAATATATTTGACCATATCAGTTTACTGAAATTTGAAGCTATCTCTCTGTATCTATCCCTATCTATATCTATATATCTATACCTATAGACATATCTCAGGTATTATCAGGAAAATGATAATCCAAAGCTTCAAGTATTTATAACCTCTGCACATGGAAACACAACTATTGTTGTTACTAATTGAAAATGTTATTATCAGTTCCTGTGCAAGTCTTCCTTTCATATGCAAAAACACTGGCAGATTAAAATATAAAAACATATGAACTAATGTTAAATTCCCCTAGAGTATACGGTTAACCTATATCTGCTTTCAGTAGAGAGAAGGAAAACAATTACCAACTTTGTTTCAGGTAATTGCTATGGCTACAGTTACCAGGAAAAACAAATTCTGCAAAAGCAAACTCCAAATAATGATGGTGTTTCTTCCTTCGGTGAATTCCATAGAATAGGTATTTGACAAAGGTCCCACACAGTACCACCACAGCACACCATGCTATACCAACATATTCTCACCAGATCCACGCTTAATAACTCAGAGAAATAAAACAATAGAAATTCTTCAGAGCAAGAATATGAACCAACAGGTCCTAACCGTTTGATGTTTGATGATACCAAACTTTAAGAAGTTTACTGTTTTTATGAAAGTGCTTTCATAAACTTTAATATGCAGATTTGTACATTTTGCTAGTGACATTTTTAAATAAATGTTTCACAGATTTAATTTATAAATCTAAGTTTTGACAGGCTGAGGAAAAAACCCTCCAAAAGGGAAATATGTCCACCATTTATTGTGAATACTCTTATGCCTAAAACCATTCTGTAGAGAATACCATTTTGCAAGCACACTTGGCCCAAACATCTGTGCTCTATTGTATTTTTCTGAATAAATCAACCCATTCAGGGACTACAAAATAAGAATTCATACAAAAGTATATGTAAAGAAGACAAATTTCTTTTTTGAAAAGCTCTTCCATCCATGATGAAGCTATTAAAAGAAGGTTTGAGTTAACAATAAAGAACAGGGGTAGTTATGTGGGTATCTGTGGTGGGAAGGCCCAGACAAGTGGTGGTGAGGTTAGATTGATGGAGACCCAGTGACCAGACAGACCACAAGGATGTCCTCTGGGGGCTTATTTGAATACAAATAAAGAGAAGATTTACACAGATGTGCCAAAGATTCATGGTAAACAGTTGGCAGACATTTCAGTTAGTGAGAAAAGCATGATGCCAGGGTGTTCTGGGGTTACAAGAGGCCAGGATGAGCATGGGGCTGGGGGTGAAAAGGCATAAGCAGCAGGCAGCACACAGAAGTATAAGAAGTATAGCTATAGCATGTAGCAGGGAAGGCATGTTCAGGAATAAATCTCATACATCGAAGAGCCTGATTCTAGAGAAACTGGGATAATAGGAGAGTCATAAAACCAGGAGTAAGACACAAATGACCCTGCTTCTAAAGTCAAAGTGCCCTAAAAGGATTTTCAAAAATGCTATGGGGGCACTTTTCCCCAAGCAGTCTATATCAGAACTTGCTTGGAGTAAGGGTGTGAGCCCTTTTAAAATTATTCTAACCCTGTCCAGCTTCCTCTCTATTGTAGCGAGCCATTGTCACTGATAGGAAAGCTGCTTCTTGCACAGGTGTGTTGGGATAAATTTTTTTAAAAAAAGGTGTGTTGGGACAAATTAAGGCAAAACGCTAAAAACCACTGAAATAGGGGCTCAGTACCAGAGACAGAATTGCATTTAGGTCAATCTTGATGCTGAGCTGTGAGCACCAAACTGCTGGTTATAACAGGAAACTCATGAACCTTGGAATCAAGTTGGCTGGAGTTCAATTGTCAGTCTGACACATACCATGGGCATGTTTTTAAACTCACTGACTCTCATTTTTTTATGACCAGGTATTTAGAGAAAAGTGTACATCTGGTGGTCCGACATGGGATTCTAGAAGCACACTTTCTTTACCGTAGCTCTTCAGTGGTTTATAAATCCTTCCCGTTACCTGTCCATAATCTGTCCTTTCCCAGCCAACTGGAAATATTCCCCCAGTCTAATTCTCTGGGGATGGGACTCAGGCAGAGGATGATGTGATGAGAACAAAGGAAATTGATGAAATATGAATTGAGAGTTAGATGGGAGAATAATGACCATGAATATGGGCTCTCAGCAAGTCAGAGGACTGAGGTGCTGGGGGACCTGGGGCCCATCTTGTGTAAACCCCAAGAGGCAATTGCACTGAAATGGCCAGAGGCAGATGACTTCCTTTGTGTTCTTCTCACGTTCCTAGCCACCACCTGCCATCTTGATGAGGGTCTCTTTATCCCTCTCCTCTTTGGTTCTCTGAAGATAAGCTATTGTTTCAAACATTAAAAAATAACACAAATATATAATTACAAATCAAGATACATGCTAAGTAAGAAAAGAAGAGAATGCAGTGAGAGAAGATAATGGGGATCTGATTTAAGTACAGGGTGGGGTTGAGAAGTGGGAGGTAGAATAAGCAGAAGTTAAGTGTGTAAAGAATAGAAGGAAAGAGGTTTCTAGGCAGAGAGAAAAGCAAGACTTCTGTTGCAGCATCACTGAGACAGTAACTCTGAGAAGCGTTATCAGCGTCTGTCTCTGTTATCAAGAAAGCAAACAGGCTTTAGAACCAATTTACCTATAAATGATCTAATGCTTACAAATTTAAAATAAAATAAAACCATAACTTAGATTCTTAAAGAATGAGACTAAATCAGCAATACATAATGAGAACTCACAATATTTTAAATAGTAATTATATAGACATAATCATTTCCATCGTGATCTAACTTGTTTCTATCTCTTTTCCCAGGTCTCAACAAAGGGAAAAGAGAAGATAAAAAAGGTAAGAAGTCTCACTAATGTTCTAAACTGTCTTCTCCCCAAGTTCAACCTGCCACTGATGTTTGAGGAATTCAGACCTCACATTCCTCCAGAACAGTGCTGGAAATCCCGTGTAGACCATCTCACACGTGCTCCATGAGCAACGACTCAGCCTTTTGCATTTTCTTCCGGCTAATGAACCCCAAAGCACTGGCTCTCCTGCTGGGGTTGGCCACAGGCTGATGGGCATCAAAGGAAGGCTGTGCCATCCTGCAATATTTGTCGTGAGGCAATTAATTTGTTATGTCTTATATCAGGGCCTCTGCTGACTACACTTAGGAGTGGCTTTTGTTACTATAGAAGCTTCTGGCATTATTTCTCATTATACAAATAAGTATATTAATCATAAATAAGATGATACCTTAAACAGTATCAATATGCTTGTCCTCTTGCCTCTCTGAATATAAGATCTTCAACCCATTTACTCAAAGCACCCATTAGCCTCAGGGGACATTTGTATATTATGCAAAAAAAGAACAAAGTAGTACCTGGCTTCTGCGATAAAAACAGACTATTGTTATGACAGTAGAATTTGCAGGTTCCATGGAGCCTTTACTCCCCTTTTATGTTATGATGAGTATGCTCAGGGGGCTCACTGTGGTGTGGAGGATGTGCTCCATCTGGGTCAAGTGAATGTAAAGAAAAGATAGAATAAGAGAGAAAAAGAATAAATGCCCAAGCCTCCCTAGGCCTAGGATGTTTGTGGGAAGAAGAAGAGAAGAAAAAAATGAGCGTTAGACAGATATCTTCTGACGTCCTCTTTGTGGTGAAAAGAAGAGAACATTCCAGAGTTGGGAGGGAAACACTGAAGGCAGAGAAGGGCTCTGCTCTCCCCACATCAAGGCCCCTAGAAAGAAATCGTCTCAGAAACGTCCTCCAGTCACCATGGTGAGAAGTGGTCACAGCAACTTGGCAATGTTGGGTCGTCAAGCAGAGGAAGGCCTCAAGGGTTAACTTTCTGGAGTCACCCTGGGTTTCAAAGCAATTGAGACTTTGGCTGGGGAGCTTGCACACTGTATGATAATATGACTATGTACCAAGGGTTACTGAGCAGCCCGTAAGACCCAACACTGACTAAAGTTAGACCCTGCAAGGTCTATACACAAGCAGAAGTCAATGTCCCTCTCATTGGCCAGGAGAATTTCTTAGCCCTGGCCATACTGAGAAAGATCAGCTTATGAGCATTGCCAGCTCCAGATGACTAGAGGATGAGCAGCACCAGCTGGATGAGGGACATTGTCCTAGAGCCCAATGTGACAGCATTGAGCCTGAGGACCTGACCCTTCTCATGAATTTAAGGTTGTGTGCTTGGCACCTCTTTCTCTATATGCTCAGACATGACACTGACTTAAGGAGAGAGTGACAAGAGGTGGTATTTCAATGACTATTTTATGACATTGAAATGGACTACTTAAATGAGACTAATATTGATACCAGATGATTTATTTATTCTTATTATTATTTGATTATGTGTGTGTGGTAGAGGGAGAAGATGGTGGATAGTATGAGCACCTCATGTCAAAAATTAGGCTTTTTCATCTTTGTATCTCTTCCAGTACCTGACCCATGCCTCTACATGTAAAGGGAGCTTAGAACAAAAATTACCTATAAATAAATAATGGATAAATAGATATTTTAAAATTTCAATTGTTCACAAAATCCTAGAGAGCAGTTTACAGTATCTTAAAGTTATCCACTTATTTCTACACTTCCTAACTCAGTGCTCCAGAGATATAAATCACCTTCGGTAAGAAGGAACCAAGTCTGGATTTCCAAACTTGAAGAATTTTTCTCTGTTTCCCAATTATTTCTGTGTTGGAAGGAGGCATCACATCTAGTTTGAGAAACCCTGGCTATAAGAGATTTTCAGTCAACACACAAAGGTTCACAGGGGTTTTTCCTTCCAAGAATAATCTCCCGGGGCCCTATTCAACAATAAATATTGCCCAACTTCCCTGTGCAGAAGTCAGTGTAAGGCCGCAAACACTAAGGAAATTGCCTCTGCATCCAGCCGGCTGATTTGGCAGGCCAGGAGCCAAGGCACAAAGGAGGCCTGTCTCTGTTTGTTTCCCTCATACTTTTCCTTCTCTCTGAGCAGTAAGCCATGGAAAGTTACGGAAAAGCCTGGGAAGAATGTGTTAGAGACTCTCTCTTCCCGCAGACCCACTAATTACGAAGAACCAAAGTTTTTGCCTAACTGACTAGGCAGTCATGATTCTGACCACTGGACATACTGCAAACACGGGCTTCTGTAAACCTCCCTCGAAAGGGCGTCTGGGAGAGAGGCCTCAGAGTCTTCACTCACTTCGTTTCATTGTCAGGCTCCTCCCAGCAAAATTAAAGACAACAGACATTTTAGGACACTTTGCCCTTGTTACCCAGTAGAATCCAAGGGGACATTCTCCTTCTAGCGTCATAGAAGATGCACCCAAATAAGTATTTTGTTATCTTAAAAGGACAAAAGACCAGAGACTTAGCTTGTGATTCTAATATGAATAAGCCACTGACTTCTATATGACATGGGTTAGGGCCCTCTCCTTCTCTGGGGCTGAATGTCCATCCTGAAAAAAATATCTTGTTTGAAAATTTGTCATTCAGACTAGTTTTTAAATTATTAACTGGATGTAAATCCTGACATTTTAGCCTGTGTTACACATTTTTTTCCAAGAGCATTTTTAAGTGATTTTCTAAAATTCATTTCTTCAGTTAATTAGATCGATTCCATAAATAAAAACTTACCTTCACAAGCTGTTTCGATACATCAAGATAAAATCTATGCAGGAAATGTAGGATAAATATTTGATTCTTTCCCATTACCATACATTGTATCATCAAAGCCATGAGCTGTGATTTATTCAGAGTTGTTTATAATTTTCTCTTTGGAGTTCTGAGTATCTGTCTCTTCTATGTAATTGTGTTTGCATGCTAAAGGAAGCAGAATCTACTGTATTGGTGGTATCAAGCTGAAATACGATATTTGCTGGAACTGGCCTTGGTCCACTTACTAATTTCTGAATTTTTTGGAAAAGCTAATAGTTTTGTTAACCGGAAGGCTCTCAGACTGTAAAACCTTCTTTCTGAGCAATAAAAACATATTCAAATAATCTAGGTAGCCTCAATAAGAGAAATGATGTATTTTTTAATGAGGAAATAATGAGATCAGTGAGATACTAAGATACCAGCTCAAAAATGGTGAGTTGGTGTTAAGAAATGCCATGAAAGAGAGGCTGCCATACACATTTAATAGTATATGTACAAAATGATGTATATGTACAATTCGAACTAAGTGGGCAAAAATGTATGTCAATTTGTTTGAAAATTGTAACAGAGGGAGAACATGTTTTTAGATATTTTAACAAAAGCGTACTATTTATAATTTTAGAAATATTAGCTTTTATATACTGTAAACCAGTGGTCCCCAACCTTTTTGGCACCAGAGACCGGTGCTCCCATGAGAATCTAATACGTGACGATCTGAGATGGAGCTGAGGTAGTGATGCTAGTGCTGGGGAGCAGCTGCAAATACAAATGAAGCTTTGCTTGTTTGCCTGCCTCTCACTTCTGTGTGGCCTGGTTCCTAACAGGCCATAGACCAGTACCAGCTTGTGGCCCTGGAGTTGGGGATCCTGCTCTACATGTACTACTCTATTATCAATAACCACTTGGTTTTACTAAGTTCTCAAGAATGTCTAGGTTAGCAACATTCTACACCTACACTCAGGTCAAACAAGTGCAAATATCTAACAGAAATCAATAAAGAACATAACATATGGAACTATTACTTTTCCAGCTACAGGTGATTATATTCAGAAAAGAATGCAATAATTCCTTTAATGTTAAATGTACTTAAATGTCCATTTTCCACCTTTGTCTCTTGCCAGAAGCACAATAATTATTCCAGATCTGGGTCATGTAATAAACGTCTGGGAATAGTTTACTCGCTTGAGCTGTTTCTCATACTGAGACATGGAACATGTGGTATTCCACCATCTGGGTCCTTTATATGTAACTTTCCTAGCTCTCCACCAGAGTTAGTCAGTCACGTGCTCTGAAATACAATAATGCAAATAATAAGACATTATTTCGCCTTTGGCTCAATCTATTATTCAAGGAGCCTATGGAAGTCAATTAAATTGTTCATTTGAAGTAAGATTGAAAAAACGCTTTGTTGGAAAATAATGCAGAAAGTGCATTTATATTTTAAATTTCTAAAACTATTCCAAAAGTATTAGGAGTTTACAGCTCGATGGTAATCCTCTGACAAAAAACAAGTAGAAGGGGGAGATTTAGGAATCGAACAATCACATTTTAACATGTAACCAGGGTGGGTGATGAGAGCATATTAGGAATGAAAAAAAGTCAAATACTAACAGATGTGGACTGTTTTACAAAGTACAAACCTAATAGGCATCCACAAAAAAGAAAAAAAAAAAAAGAAAGAAAGAAAAAAAAAAAAGAACCATGGGAATGAGAAGCTACACAGAGTTTCCTGAGATTGTTTTAGTCTATATTTAAGCAGGCTAGGCTCAGCCAAATTTCCTGAGAAATTTATATTGGCCTGACCAACCTGAATGCCTAATAAATAGGTCTTAAATGTATAGTAAAGTGGTTGACCCAGTGGGTAGAAGCAGGGACTGGAAATACTATAGAGGACACAGTTTAAGTGCTGGAATATACAACACTGTATATATTATATTACACAGCGTACTCTAGAAAATGAGAAAGCTGTTCCTTTCAGATATTTCTCTGTGGATTACAGTCCTGAGAATGGATTTCCTTGAGTTTCTCCCCTGACACTCACCCCAGGTCTAGTCTGATCATGGCTACACATAACCTACCAAGTAGGTGATTGCTTTGGAACTATCACCTGGTTTTACCAATCAGTCACTAGAACTCTCACAAGATAATTCCTCACGAAGAGCCTAACACTGTTCTTCAAGAGTTTGCTATGACCTGTAGGGT